GCCTCTGTTATGGCTTTCAACTAGCCTTTCTATAGCTTCATGAATTCCCCTCTTTTGGTTCTCTTTCTGTTCTTATTGGCAGTTTCTAGTTCTACTTATGTAATATATAAGCTTTAATACTTTGTGTGTTAGACTTCTCCCGTTCAAGAGCTCCCCTAGTTAACATATCGAACATGAATTCTTATTCAAGAATGAATGCCAATAGAAAGATTCAATTTTGCCTGTGCATAGGGTCATCCCCCACTCCCGTCTCAGGGTGCTAAGGGGCTTTTGTTTTTGGAATAGTCGACAGTGTTTTACTGACACCTCGCGTCAAGCTTTTGTTGCGACATGCTATGTTTTCTCCCCCGCTACTAGTAGGTTGATGGGTCACATGTCCGTCACACGTGTTTGGCCTTTTGTGTCAATAACTCAAAATAAGTGACCTAATGCCGTTGGCCGACTAAACATACCAATAGTTATCAGATTCATATGAGTTATTGAGAAGCAATCAATGATCTTCTTAAGATGAATCTGTCTTAAAGTGATCGAGGAAGAACATATTATAGCAATCACGTTTAAGTAGTATAAATGAAAGTATCTTTATTTTGGACTTTTAATCATCATGTTTATAATAAAGTGAAATATAGTTAAAAGTATTGAAGACAAGATATAAATGTGAAACTAAGAACCCAATTTGTATGCGGAAAAAGTGTAATTCATTCAAAACACATAGATTGTCTCGCATGTAATCAACACCTTTAAACTCCACCAATCAAAATCAACTACTTGATCTTGATTAGCCAACCTCTATGTAAATAACTCCCATCTCAACAAACACAATAAAAAGGGACATTAAATCTCAAGTAGTAGCTTGACCACTTGATAAACACATTAAGAAGGTGTAAGTCAAGAGTTTAAATATCTCATGGGTAGATACATATTTTAGAGAGTAATCATTCTCAACTTGGGCCCCCTAATTTTTTTTACTTGACATTAGACATATAATTTTTTAAATAAAATTTAATATTTAATTGTATCCACCCTATTATTGTGTTCATGTAATATGAATTAGGATAAAATGCCTATCTAAATGATTACTAGTGTTCATGTAATATGAATTAGGATAAAATGCCTATCTAAATGATTACTAGTAAGTCTTAATGTTTAATAAATCTATTATCCATACAATGGTTAGAAGTCATGGAGTTCCAACCAACTAAATCCCAAATTAAGTGAAAGTAACATTATTCTTTAACTTTTAGATATGCTTCGGACATGTCTAAATAAGTTTTGGCAATATTATGGTTATTTTGTAGGTTTTAAAATTATAAGATTATTTTATTATTATATCAAAATGAGTGTCATTATGTAAGAACCAACAATGAAATATTGTTACTGATGATGATGAATTTAAGTCTAGACCCCCTCTAGAGCTCAAAACCCTTTGGGCTCATAGAAGGCGGCTCAAGCATCTCATCTAGACAATATTTATTGGGCTCAAGCTGGACTACAACCTAGTTTCCGTAGAGGCTTGAAGCAAACAAGTTCGAAATAAGTGCTAGCTCGATGTTGACAAGCCCAATATAGGTACTAGTTCGGGGAATGAGAGCACGACACCAGACCAATCTGTGAGAGCTATAGCGTGGCACGTGGATAAGAGACCAAATGGACATTACTTGACAATTTTGATGAACGAAAACTCATTGATAGTGAAGATGACTCACAAAGTACAGCTAGTGAGTAGTGAGTGCAGAAAGACATTAGGGACCACAATTACAGTAACAAGACAATCACAGAAGGGACCATAGAATCAGCAAGGGATCAACACGCAAACCCTAACGGCCAGATATATAAATAGCTAACAATACTACACAGAGACTCACTAAGAAAAACTATCGACTTGTAACCTAGGGGTGGTAAAAGGCTTTGAGCCAAACACCTTATAACTGTAGTCTTCTTCTCCAAGTAAAACATTTCTAAGGAGAAAGAGCCTCCTTTAGAGTGAATGTACTTTTAGTCATTCGGTTAAGGCGAACCACTCATACTGTTGTTTTCTTCTTGAATTATATACGCATATGCATATACTCCTGCATACATAAGCATCCGTTGAGCCATATCCCAGGTTGTTCTGTAGTCCGGTCCAGTCAATTTCAAGCACCATCGGTTACCATGGTTTATATTTAAAAAAAAAATGTATTTTTGACGGGGTTAATTTGTAACGCTTTCAAAAGATAAAAAATTATTAGATTAATTATAAATGATAATAATTAGTCTCATTCTTGGTGCTAAATTATAATTAATTTGTTTTTAAATTTTTTGTATACATGCTATGTAGATAAGTTTTTAATTTTGTATGCTTAATAAACTTTTAAGTATTAAGTATGATTTCATACATTTACAAAAAAAATAAAATTAGAACCTATTGTGCCCATCTTAAACTAATTTTCTTGCTCCCCCTGATTCTCAAATTTACCACTGGTGTAGAGAGACGTCTTCACACAAAATCTAACTAGGATATCAAAAAAAAAAAAAAAGCAAATAGTGGGGGTCGGTATGCCTAAATGGGGCCTGCCGTGGGCATGTTGCTTTATTATTTAAATTAATCACGTAGTTAGACTTTAGACTAAAGTCAAATAAATTTTTAAAGCTTTGTTTGTCATCGTTTGGCTAGGATTAAATTAATAATAATGATTTGATTCGAATCGGGAACACTTGGGAGAGATGATTGCCTACCAAGTGCCTTTTCCTGATGCAGCATGTGCTGAGAATCTAACTCCCATCATCCCCCCATTCCTTCCAACTCTATACAATAGAAAACTAAAGCATCTTCTTTCTACTCCAATATTTTATATGGAAACCAGGACACTCTCTCTCTCTCTCTCTCTCTCTCTCTCTCTCTCTCTCTCTCTCTCTCTCTCTCTCTCTCTCTCTCATGTTTGATGTTATCTTAAAAAGGCAACACACTTATGAGTAAAGAGATGCAGCCACGAGACCGACATTAGTATCCCTGGCCCCTTCTCTCTACCTTTTTTTCTTCTTATTTTTGAATTGTACAAATCTTTTGCGGTTTGTAGTGAGTTGTAAAAGTTCTTTAATGGAACCCTGTTTATTAATCATCACAGTTAGGTCGGATGGCCAAGGTTTTACTTTATAAATCATCAAATTTTGTCAAAAGGCAAATTTGAGTAGGACTTACCAAGGCTAAGATCTTCATTTGATTGCTAAAAGTAGCTTAGCGGCTCCCCTCCCACCTCCCCCTGTTGTAATTCTTTTGATCCAGAATGAATATGAATGCTTGGGTTAAGTCATAATTGTGTTCCTGATGCAACCCGTAAAGCAGAAGTTTGCATAAAAGATCAAGATTGTCGAAAACGGTGTGGTTCGAACAGATTTTAGCTATAATATTAAAAAATTGCTCAAGACCCCATTCGAAAAACCCCTTGCGCGTTCTACAAAACCCATTTTTAAGCCAACAAACAATGGTGAGACCATTTTAAAGATCCCTTTGGTCTTATTTCACTTTTAAGGGTATTGTTATGATTTCATGTGCTTAGAATCGGATTTTCAAGTAATTTTTTACTACTGGAGTTTCTTTTATTATTATTATTATTTTTAAATTGGATTGTAAAACTAATTTAGTAGCTTTTGATTATATGCAAAATATTTATGAAATTATTTTTATCCCATTTAATTCGCTTTGGTATTGTAGGAATCACCAAATACATCGAAGAACCTTAACATGGTATTGTTTGTCATAATTAAAAGGTCACGGTTACTTCCGGGTTTCATCAGTCACGCTCCTTGAATCATTTCCTGGTCTCTTTTTAAAATAAGGCTGTTAAGTTCAAAAAAAAAAAAGGGCATAAATATCACTGCTGTTATTATGTTGAAAGTGAGCACCAGCTAGAGCCCCTTTGTTATATGAACAATGTTATTTAAAGGAGTCTTCCATCGATAATATGCTCCACTTCCATCAGTATGTCATGTACTTGCATTTCTGCAATCAAAACTTCTCAATTCTATATCTGGGATGCGTGTTCTCTACGGTTCACAAGCAAACTGAGGTTGCTATTTGTCGAAACAGTAGTACATTTCTTTATATTCCTTCAGATTCATTGCAATAATACAAACTCCAAATACATATAATCAGTTGTAAACAACACGGTTCAAGTAAACTATGAACTTAAACTTTAAACCTCGAAATATCACAACACTTAGACCTTCCCTTCCCAGCTACAGTACGAATTCAAACTACTAAGACGTTTCGTGACGCCATCTTCATTGATGTCCCAATAGAGTTATGGAGTTTTAAGATAACTAATACCTTTCATTAGGTTTGAGTATCCTCCTAGAAAGGTAATGAAAAGTCAAGGGAAAGTTCAACCATACTTAACCCAAAAATGACAAGACTATATAATGTTACCGTTTGCACAATATTTGTGTTGAATAAGGATAAAATTTCTTGAAATGAATACATTTCCCAGAAAGTGACAAATAGTTACTGCCCTCCATCTTTTGCAAAAGATACTTAGAAAGTAAAAGGGTAGCTTGGACTTTGGGGGAATGAAATATTTTTTTTACCAGATACCATTACTGTTTACTTTAGAGAGAGAGGTAAAAAAGAGAAGGGAAAAGTCACGTGACAGAGAATGGAAGTCACGTGTATTCAGGGAAGGACTTGCATTTTTTCATGCAAAATACATTGGGATGAATAATGACTGTTTGTTTTGTTATGGTCATGGGGATGTTTTTTTGTTTCTCTGCCTGAATGCTGTGTGGGCTCAAGTTTCAAGCAATGTGATTGGATCGGCCACAGTCCAAACCCCACTCTACATTCTTCTCTCTCTCTCTCTCACACACACACACACGCACTGTTTCAAGCTTTATGTAGAAGACTTGGCTCAACCTTACCTTCTCAAGGTGGGGGTCAATGAGAGAAAGCAAGAAAGTTCATAGAAAAAGCTAAAAGCTTAAAGTTTAAAAGAAAGCTGATTGCACAAAGCAACTGCTTTTCTCTCTCTCTCTCTCTCTCTCTCTCTCTAAGCCTTCTACGGTACTGGAAAGCTGAAAGGAACAACACCCACTTCAACAGCTGTATAGGTGGGAATTTGATTGTGCTTCTGGTTCATCTATGAGATATATCCAACAAAACCATTAGAATCCACTCATGTTAGACAACACTGCTCGTCCATCTTCCTCTTCTGATGCTTTCACTTCCTCCGAAAATGGGGTTGCTAACAAGAGGAAAAGAAGACCAGCTGGTACTCCAGGTATTTACCTCCTCCTTCTCTCCCTCACTCTCTCTCTCTCTCTCTCTCTCACACACACACACACACCCACAAACACGCACACAAACATCTTGATAGTACAATCTAATTTACGGGTTTGTTCCAAATTATGTTATAATATAGATCCAGATGCTGAGGTGGTATCTCTCTCACCCAAGACCCTATTGGAATCCGATAGATACGTATGTGAGATCTGCAACCAAGGGTTTCAGAGAGATCAGAACTTGCAGATGCACCGTCGACGGCACAAGGTGCCGTGGAAGTTGTTGAGGAGAGAGACGCCGGAGGTGAAGAAGAGAGTGTTCGTGTGCCCGGAGCCAAGTTGCTTGCACCATGACCCTTGCCACGCCCTTGGAGATCTTGTGGGAATAAAGAAGCATTTCAGGAGGAAACACAGCAATAATAAGCAGTGGGTGTGTGAGAAGTGCTCAAAAGGTTATGCTGTTCAGTCTGATTACAAGGCCCATCTCAAGACTTGTGGTACCCGAGGCCATTCTTGTGACTGTGGTCGGGTGTTTTCCAGGTTTTTTATATTCTTGCTTCCTTTAAAGAGACTTTTAAGTATATAAATTGCGTAATATAACTTTTCCTTTCTCTTAGTTGATGATATAATGTCCTGTATTATTCATCATCCCAGAGTCATTAACTCTAAAAACATTCAATGGAAACAAAAAATTTCCCCAGATAAACATGTTAGAACAAACATAAATCTTGATTTTCAGTTCATTTCTTTAGGTTTCTCTATGGTTTTATCTATCTACTTTAGATCCTTTTACTTAGATAATATGTGTTATAATTTTTCTAATTTTATGAGACGATTCCAATAATACATGACCTCATCTTAAGTAGATTTTGTTATTTAGGACAGCCAATGGAAGTGTAAGGCCTGTGATTCACCAATCCCAATAATAGCTTCCATTGGATAATAAATTATGGTTACCCAAAAACAAAAATTCTTCATTTACAGACTTACATATCCCTTTAGATTTGTTTCATAATTTTATTGTTACTATCCAAAGCCTAGTCCCTTGATCTATTTTTATTGTTTTCTTAGTTGATAACCTACATGAAGAAGCTTTGATTTCTTCCTTGACTGAGCTGTTGCAGCCCAACTTCGTGTAATAAATACTTCAAGGCCAAGCCACATTATCTCACACTAGTGCTCATGCACACACTCGTTAAAAAAAAATAGATAAATCTAACAAATTATGGGGGTAATCGGTGGTTAAATTTAAAAAAAAAAGAAAGTATTATTGACATTTGTAAAGTTGAAACCACATCCTATCCTCTCCTTTTATTAATAGTGTAAATAATTTGTGTTTTAAGTTTTGATTCATTCTATACTTTGTCCTGTCAGAGTTGAGAGTTTCATCGAGCACCAAGATGCTTGCACAGTACGGCCGATCAGGCCGGAGTTACAGACATTTCAGCCGGCCTGCTCTTCTCTAACCGCCTCGAGTACCAGCCCATCAAGTGACACCAACTTGAGCATTAGAATACCAATTCAAACACCTGCTGAACGTAACAGTTCTGATGATCAACACAACTTGGAACTTCAACTATTACCATCATCAATCATATATTCATCAAGAAACAGGGATGACAATCATTCAACTCATTTGAAACTCTCCATTGGATCATGCAGTGGCAGCCGAGTTAATGATTCCAGCCACCCCGAAAGCTCTTTCCGATTAGGGAATGCCACTGAAGCCGCATTGGAGGCATCAAGAATGAAAGGAGGGGAAAATGATGGGCTAAAGTTGGCCATGAATGAAATGGCCTGTGCTGAGGAGGCTAGAAAACAAGCCAAGAGACAAATTGAATTGGCTGAGTTAGAATTTGCCAATGCAAAGAGGATTAGGCAACAGGCACAGGCCGAGCTTCAAAAGGCTCAAAGTATAAAAGAGCAAGCCACAAAGAAGATTAGCTCAATTTTGCTAGCAATCACTTGCCATGCTTGCAAGCAACAATTCCAAGCAAGAACAGTCACTGCACCAGCTGATGAGACCTCATTTGCCATGAGTTATATGTCCTCAGCCATGACAGAAGGAGGAGGGAAGTAACAGCCTCATCCTTCAACCTTGTAGAAAATCTCTCTCTCCCTCTCCCTCTCTCTCCTCTCCATTTGTTTGTATGTCATCTCTTTATTTTCTCAAGGAATATCATGTGGGTGTTTTGAGTAGTGTGATCATGATGATTCAACGAGTGTTATAACCTTCCTTATATTTTTTTTTCTCTGTTCATATTTGTGTTGAAGATATCTTCATTTCTTGAAAGGAATTATGACCCTGAAAAAGTTTAATTGTATTCTTGAAAGATTCTGGGGAAACCCATTAAACCATAACTATATCATTTTTGCTTATGGTTTTGCTTGACATCGCATCTTAAATCTTTTTCTGTATTCTTAAAATTTATTTTGGAATTTCATATTTCCTTTTAGGGCTTGACTAGTGAGGAGATAAAGGTTGCGATAGGTAGATACAATAGAGGGTCTATTTTTTTATTGTTGTTTTCAGTAAAAAGAAAGTTTACACCACCATGCATTTGAACGAAAGAATATATTGGGTGTGGCTGGGAGGGAGGGGGGAGGGGCAGTCACACACTTTGTGGACTCAAATCCTCAGCTCACTGCATGGAAAGGGGTCCAGTGGCAAGGACTAGTTAACTGTAATACTAGGAAAGGTCTTTCATTGCTGGGTTATTTTTCTTGCATTTCCTTAATTATAAAACCTTCTTTTATCTCCGTAACAGAATAGTCCGGCAGAGGAAGGGCTTCAAAAAGAAATTGCATTGTGATAGATGTCATGCTTTTGGGGTTCTGTTAACACACTATTATAGTTCCATTTTTTGTTTTGGGAGAAAATTATATTTTGATTCTCTTAACTAAATTATATTTTGATTCTCTTAACTACTTGAATTGTCTCATATTATTCAAAAAATAAACATTTGTTATTTTTTAGACGCAAAATATCCATGTGATGGAACAAAGTGAAATATAATCACATAGTTTTGAGGATAAAATAACATAATTTTTTGTAAAATTTTAAACCAGAAGGTAAATCATTGGGGGAAATGTAAAACTACTAGCCATAATTTAAGGTTTAATGTAGGAAATAGATATTTCATGGGGCAATAGGAGACCAAAATGACTGCATGGAAAGAGGTGGGAATGTCCCGGACAAGATAATTAACTATAATATGAGGAGGGTCTTTCATTGATCCGTTTTTTCTCTTGTTACCTTAATTATAGTCCTATTTTTCAGCTCCTCATCAGAATAGGTCTACAGATGAAGGTTTTTTTTTTGGTACATCGGAAAGTTAAAACAAGAAAAAAGACTAGATAGAGTTCCTAGTAAAAGCTACACTACTCATATCTACTAACAAAAACTTAGCTTGCTGGGGAGGGGGAGCATCAAGCTCAACAAAATTTTTCAGTTGTTGGACTCCAAGGTTAGCCAAAACATCAGCACACTAATTGCCTTCTCTGAGAGTATGAACTATGAGAATGTGCTTCATCTCCATAATTCTTCTACAGTCAGTAATAACAGCTCTATTAAGGTGAGTAGACTCTGGATCCATGGACAGAAGTTTGGTTGCTTCAAGTGAATCAGTTTTCCATAGCGATAGGAGTGATATTCTTCTTCCGCATAAGCTCTAGACCCTTAAGGATTGCCCATAACTCAACCTGTAAGCTTGTGGAATCATCCATTTTTTTCATAGAAGCCAGCGATCCATTTTCCTTGATCATCTCTAATAATTCCTCACACTCTTGGTGGGCCTGGGTTTCCTTTTGAGCATCCATCCGTGTTCAATTTATTCCAACCTGTATGAGAGAAAGACAATGCAATAAGACAGGAAGAAGTATTAACAGGCTCATCTTGGGCATTTTGAAAGGCTTTGACAGTATCCAAAAGCAAAAAGCCATGCTTCCCTAGCAACAAATCTAGGTAAGATAGAAATTTTAGAAATGCTTTCCTATTCCTATCTTTCCATATACACCATGAAACACATGCACACATAATAGGCCAACTAATTCCTTTCTAGTCCTTGGTCTTTCTTATTTTAAAATTTAAGTTAATCCAATTCTGTAAACCTCCCATCTGGTTAGTTTCGTCTCCTTAGGGCAAGTTAAAAAAATTTCACACTCTTTGAGATTTTGGACAAGCAAAAATCACATGCAAGGATGTTTCATCAGAATGTTGGCATCTAGGGCAAGAAATCACTAACCATATTCCTTGAAGCTCTAAGATTATTAGTGAAGAGCCTATCATGTTGAACAAGTTAAGATTCCAGTTAAGTTTCTCCTGATCGACATATTTATTGTTGACCACTTCAACCCATAGGGCTTTCTCTTTTTTCTTCACTTTCCATCCCAGTTTAGATAATAGGACTAAGTTGTTATCCCTTCTCTTTCTTAATCCCAACCTCCTTTCATTCCTAGCGAAACACACCCTATTCCAATTCAACAGGTGAACATTTTTCTTATCAGGTGTGTCTCCCCACAGAAAATTCCTATTAAGTTTATCAATTTGGTTACAAGTAGCTTTAAGGAGCCAATTAATTTGCATAACATGATTCGAGAGTGTAGAAGTAACAACTTTAACAAGGGTGGTTCTACCTGCCAAGAAGAGGGATTTGGCTTTCACCCACTTAGTCTATTTTAGATTTTCTCAATAATAAATCTAAAGTGTTCTTTAAAAGATCTTTTATGAAAGATAGGAATACCTAGGTATTTTCCTAGGTCATGAGTAAGAGTGACTCCAAATTTTTTGCTATGGAATAAATCATGACTTTTACTCTCATTAGGAGAGAAGAAAATCTTAGATTTATTAAGACTAATCTTCTGTCCTGACATCAAAAAAATTCTTCAAACACATCTTTTATCATGAGACAGTCTTTTTCAGTGGTTCTAGAAAACAAAATAATGTCATCTTCAAAAAATAATTAAGTAATTTGGGGTCCCTTTCTAGATGCTTTTAAACCTCTCCATTTACTTTCTTGCACTTTCTGAAGGATTAATTGTCCCAGTCATTCCATACAAAATACAAAGATATAAGGGGATAAAGGATCCCCTTGTCTCAAACCTTTTTTTAGCTTTGACTGGATCTAGAGAATAACCATTCCATAAAATGGAAAGAGTTGACACTGTAACACAACTTATAATGATATCAATCCAAGACTGGTGGAAATTAAAATCAAGCAGAGTTTTATAAAGAAAATTCCAATTAACTCTATCATAGGCTTTTTCCAAATTAATTTTGATAACCATACCCCCAATCTTCCATTTTTTCTTCTTAGGGAGTAGTTAATCATTTGAGTTAGAATGACATTATCAACAGTTTTCCTACTTGGGATGAAACTACACTGGTTAGGGCTAATCAGTTTATACAACAAGGGTCTCAGTCTAATAACCAGAAGCTTTGTTAGGATTTTGAAAGGAACATTGCATAGACTAATTAGTCTAAATTGAGTGATTTGTGTAGGGTTTTCTACTTTAGGTATAAGAGTTACGCATGTATTATTCAATTATCTTGGACATTCTCTACTTCCTATCATATCTTTAATAAGATTACATACTGATTCCCCAACAATATCCCAGTATTTTTGGCAAAATAGAGCCTGAAGTCCATTAGGACTTGGAGCTTTCATTGGTTTCATGCTAAAAATTACATGTTTAATTTCATTATTAACTACAGGGGCTTCCAGAATTTCTTTCACCTCGTCACTTAGTTCATTTTGGAATCTGAAAAACCTCTGGAGATAGGAATCAGATCCAAATAGGTTATAGAAAAAGTCTTGAATAGCATTGGCTATATCTTCAGTATTAGTCAACCAGTTACTTTCCAAATTATTAAGGGTTTGAGGTCTACTTTTCTTTCTTCTTGTAATAGTGGATACATGAAAAAATTTTGTATTTATATCCCCACAAGTAATCCATTTAGACCTAGACTTCTGGTACCATAAGACTTCTTCTTGTTCTAGTATTTGATTATATTCATGTTGAAGTTCTTCCTCTAGTCTAGTCAAATTATGAGAATAATGTGAATCTTGGGCTTTTTTAATACCCTTTAACCTTGCTAAAATTCTTCTTTTTCTTCTAAAAAGGTTTCCAAAGGAATACCTATTTCATTCCATGGCAATAATCCCAAAATCGGTTGAAGCTTTAATGAGGGAGTTATTGTTAATTCTTGAGGTTTTTGCAACCAAATCTTTGAACTCAGGGTGTGTTGTTCACATAGCCTCAAGTCTAAAGGGTTTGAAAAAAGGATGGATAAAAGACATACCTTGCATCTGGATCAGCAGTGAATAATGGTTTGGGTAGGTTCTAGGAAGATTCCTTACTCCTACCTCAGAGAACTGCACAGTCCATTCCGAATTCGCCAAAACTCTATCAAGTTTGATTTTAGTATTCGCAAGACCTTTCTTGTTATTGTTCCAAGTAATTTTGGGGCCACTACATCCAAGATCAATGAGACCGCAATTGTTAACTCTATCCTTGAATTTTTTGATTCTGCTTGTATTATCCATTTGTCTCCCTCTTCTCTCTGATTGGTTAGAGAAATCGTTAAAATCTCTAGCCTCCATCTAAGAATTTCTATAGTAATCTCTTGTGCAACTAAGTTCATCCCACAATTGATCTCAACGTTGGGACTCCCATAGACAACAAAAAATAGCAATTCATCAAAATCCATTATAACAATAGTTGCAAGGATGACTTACTTAGAGGAGCCCCTAGTGTTGATAGAAATATTTGATGGATTCCAGAATAACCAAATACCCCTAGATCTTCCTTCAGGTTCCATTTTCTTGGATGTAGTAAGTCCATATTGGTCAAAAAAGTTCCCCATTTGACTGCTTTGTATCTTCATCTCCAAAAGCACAACAATATCAGGTTTATGGGCTCTTAAAAGGTCATTGAAAGCCCTTCTAAACCTCTCATTTGCTGCTCCATTACAGTTCCAAATAAAAAATTTTATGGCTGACATCATTAAAAACTGAGGATGAGGTTTGGATCTGTCCAGGTCAAGCTTATGTCTTGCTATCTCACTAAACTCCCTTATTGGGATTGCAAGTCCCAGTGAGACAGAGGTAGTCTGAATCTTTGCTTCCTTGAG